GACCAGCAGTGCTGCAGAATTTGAAGAGGCACGAATGGAGGGCGAAAGAGAGAAATGTGCCAAGAGGAAGGCGCGTCAAGCCAACCCCGACCGGGACCGCCTTCCACCTGGAAACCGATGCGCAGTCACCTATGGACCCACCCTGCAAGATCACCCTACTCGGACAACGAGGGATCGTCTAAGTAAGTAAGTAAGTAAGGATACATTTCTGCCAACAATGAAGCCGTCACGGAACAAGTCGACATTCTGTTTCCGCAACCAGCGTCACGTAGTTCTCTCAATGTCTTCATCAGAAGCATCATGATGTCCTCGCAGGTCTTCTTTCATTATTGGGAACAGATGGAAGTCAGACGGTGCTAAATCTGAATTGTATGGAGGATGTCGTATGGTGGGGAGATCCAGTCTCTGAAGTTTCAAGTCTGTGCGCTTTCATTTCAGGCATCAGCATCCTGGGTACCCATCGTACACAGATCTTCCGATAGCCAAGCAAAACAATAATGTGAGCCACACGTTCTTGTGAAATGCTGATTATGCTTGAAATTTCTTTCTGAGTGATACGACGATCGTCCTGAATCAATCTGTCAACCTTTTGCTTGTGAAACTTGGTGGTTGCTGTCACAGGACGTCCAACTCTGTTTGTCACGCAAGTCAGATGTCCCACCTCAACATCTTTAAACTTACTCGCCCAACGACGCATAGTATTCACATCAACACAATCGCCATAAACAGCTTGCATTCTCTGATGAGTCTCCTTTGGGGTGACACCTTCTGCTGTCAAGAATTCAATGACTTTAACAACACAACCGTTCAATGCTAGGACTTCCTGCCAAAATGGAACTGTAGAGGAGAGTCTACTGAACAAGCCAGTACCTGCCATATACGTTGCTTAAGTCGCATTGACCGACCACCTGCGCAGGGTTCCATACTTCACACTTTAACAACACAACCATTCAATGATAAGGCTTCCCGCCAAAATGGAACTGTAGAGGAGAGTCTACTGGATCAAAGTCCTCTCCATTTTATTTTCTCCCCAAATGGGGCTGCCTGTTACCAGAGCCTCCAATGTGCCTCCCCATAGCCATGGATGGCTTTGTCTTTCTCAATTGGGCAAATTTTTCCATCCAGGTGTGGCCAGGTGACGAAGAATGCAGGGAGTGGATCTCCACCTGGCAACCTTCCTAGCCTTTGTTTTCCCTCTTTGATGTTTGCTGTGCCAGCTTGCTACAGAATCCCAGAGTTGGAAGAGACCCAAAAGAATCATCCACTGCAACCTCCTACTGCCAGGCAGGGAGACACCATCCAATCCCTCCCGACAGATGACCATCCAGACTCCGTTTAAAGACTTCCATAGACTCCTAGAGTTGGACGAGACCCCAAAGGTCATCCAGCTCCTTCTGATGATGATGTATGATATTGCTTTCGTCCAAGGGATCCTTTGTGCACAAAGAGTGTTGTTTTAGTTCAAAGGGTCCCCTGTGCATGGGCAGAGTGCATTGCCATGGTCCATAGGGAGAGTGCATTGTTTTTGTCCAATGGGTCACCTGTGCATAGGAATTATGCATTGCCTTGATTCAAGGGGTCCTCTTTGCAGAGTAAGAGTGCATTGCCTTGCTCCACGGAGTCCTCTGTGCATGGGCAGAGTGTTTTGCCATTGTGCATGGGCAGGGTGCATGGCCTTAGTCTTAGGATCCTGTGTGCATGGGCAGAGTGCATGGCCTTAATTCAACCCCTCCCCCCGTGCATGGGCAGGGTGCATGGCCTTAGTTCAAGGGGGTCCTTTGTGCATAGTAAGAGTGCATTGCCTTGGTGCATGGAGCCATTGTGCATGGGCAGGGTGCATGGCCTTAGTCTTAGGATCCTGTGTGCATGGGCAGAGTGCATGGCCTTAATTCAACCCCTTCCAAGGGGTCCTTTGTGCATAGTAAGAGTGTATTGCCTTGGTGCATGGACAGAATGCCTGGCGACTGCGTTAGTCCTAGGATCCTGTGTGCATGGGCAGAGTGCATGGCCTTAATTCAACCCCTCCCCCCGTGCATGGGCAGAGTGCATTGCCTTAGTTCAAGGGGGTCCTTTGTGCATAGTAAGAGTGCATTGCCTTGGTGCATGGCGCCATTGTGCATGGGCAGGGTGCATGGCCTTAGTCTTAGGATCCTGTGTGCATGGGCAGAGTGCATGGCCTTAATTCAACCCCTCCCCCCGTGCATGGGCAGAGTGCATTGCCTTAGTTCAAGGGGGTCCTTTGTGCATAGTAAGAGTGCATTGCCTTGGTGCATGGCGCCATTGTGCATGGGCAGGGTGCATGGCCTTAGTCTTAGGATCCTGTGTGCATGGGCAGAGTGCATGGCCTTAATTCAACCCCTCCCCCCGTGCATGGGCAGAGTGCGTTGCCTTAGTTCAAGGGGGTCCTTTGTGCATAGTAAGAGTGCATTGCCTTGGTGCATGGCGCCATTGTGCATGGGCAGGGTGCATGGCCTTAGTCTTAGGATCCTGTGTGCATGGGCAGAGTGCATGGCCTTAATTCAACCCCTCCCCCCGTGCATGGGCAGAGTGCATTGCCTTAGTTCAAGGGGGTCCTTTGTGCATAGTAAGAGTGCATTGCCTTGGTGCATGGCGCCATTGTGCATGGGCAGGGTGCATGGCCTTAGTCTTAGGATCCTGTGTGCATGGGCAGAGTGCATGGCCTTAATTCAACCCCTCCCCCCGTGCATGGGCAGAGTGCGTTGCCTTAGTTCAAGGGGGTCCTTTGTGCATAGTAAGAGTGCATTGCCTTGGTGCATGGAGCCATTGTGCATGGGCAGGGTGCATGGCCTTAGTCTTAGGATCCTGTGTGCATGGGCAGAGTGCATGGCCTTAATTCAACCCCTCCCCCCGTGCATGGGCAGAGTGCATTGCCTTAGTTCAAGGGGGTCCTTTGTGCATAGTAAGAGTGCATTGCCTTGGTGCATGGCGCCATTGTGCATGGGCAGGGTGCATGGCCTTAGTCTTAGGATCCTGTGTGCATGGGCAGAGTGCATGGCCTTAATTCAACCCCTCCCCCCGTGCATGGGCAGAGTGCATTGCCTTAGTTCAAGGGGGTCCTTTGTGCATAGTAAGAGTGCATTGCCTTGGTGCATGGCGCCATTGTGCATGGGCAGGGTGCATGGCCTTAGTCTTAGGATCCTGTGTGCATGGGCAGAGTGCATGGCCTTAATTCAACCCCTCCCCCCGTGCATGGGCAGAGTGCATTGCCTTAGTTCAAGGGGGTCCTTTGTGCATAGTAAGAGTGCATTGCCTTGGTGCATGGCGCCATTGTGCATGGGCAGGGTGCATGGCCTTAGTCTTAGGATCCTGTGTGCATGGGCAGAGTGCATGGCCTTAATTCAACCCCTCCCCCCGTGCATGGGCAGAGTGCATTGCCTTAGTTCAAGGGGGTCCTTTGTGCATAGTAAGAGTGCATTGCCTTGGTGCATGGCGCCATTGTGCATGGGCAGGGTGCATGGCCTTAGTCTTAGGATCCTGTGTGCATGGGCAGAGTGCATGGCCTTAATTCAACCCCTCCCCCCGTGCATGGGCAGAGTGCATTGCCTTAGTTCAAGGGGGTCCTTTGTGCATAGTAAGAGTGCATTGCCTTGGTGCATGGCGCCATTGTGCATGGGCAGGGTGCATGGCCTTAGTCTTAGGATCCTGTGTGCATGGGCAGAGTGCATGGCCTTAATTCAACCCCTCCCCCCGTGCATGGGCAGAGTGCATTGCCTTAGTTCAAGGGGGTCCTTTGTGCATAGTAAGAGTGCATTGCCTTGGTGCATGGCGCCATTGTGCATGGGCAGGGTGCATGGCCTTAGTCTTAGGATCCTGTGTGCATGGGCAGAGTGCATGGCCTTAATTCAACCCCTCCCCCCGTGCATGGGCAGAGTGCATTGCCTTAGTTCAAGGGGGTCCTTTGTGCATAGTAAGAGTGCATTGCCTTGGTGCATGGCGCCATTGTGCATGGGCAGGGTGCATGGCCTTAGTCTTAGGATCCTGTGTGCATGGGCAGAGTGCATGGCCTTAATTCAACCCCTCCCCCCGTGCATGGGCAGAGTGCATTGCCTTAGTTCAAGGGGGTCCTTTGTGCATAGTAAGAGTGCATTGCCTTGGTGCATGGCGCCATTGTGCATGGGCAGGGTGCATGGCCTTAGTCTTAGGATCCTGTGTGCATGGGCAGAGTGCATGGCCTTAATTCAACCCCTCCCCCCGTGCATGGGCAGAGTGCATTGCCTTAGTTCAAGGGGGTCCTCTGTGCATAGTAAGAGTGCATTGCCTTGGTGCATGGAGCCATTGTGCATGGGCAGGGTGCATGGCCTTAGTTCAAGGAGATCCTCTGTGCATAATAAGAGTGCATTGCCTTGGTGCATGGAGCCATTGTGCATGGGCAGGGTGCATGGCCTTAGTCTTAGGATCCTGTGTGCATGGGCAGAGTGCATGGCCTTAATTCAACCCCTCCCCCCGTGCATGGGCAGAGTGCATTGCCTTAGTTCAAGGGGGTCCTTTGTGCATAGTAAGAGTGCATTGCCTTGGTGCATGGAGCCATTGTGCATGGGCAGGGTGCATGGCCTTAGTTCAAGGGGGTCCTTTGTGCATAGTAGGAGTGCATTGCCTTGGTGCATGGACAGAATGCATGACCTTAATCCTATGCTCCTGTGTGCATGGGCAGAGTGCATGGCCTGAATTCAAGCCCCTCCACCCCCACCCCTCTGGGCATGGGCAGAGCGCATGTCCTTGGTCCAAAGGGCTCCCTTGTGCATGGGCAGAGCGCCTCGACCTGTCCCTGTGAGCCAAGATGGAGCCAGGCAGGTAAGCCGCCCAGCAGTGGGGGAGGAGGAGGAGGAGGAGGAGGAGGAGCCGGAGGGAGGGGCGGAGGGAGGGGCGAGGGGGAGGCGACGGTGGCGAGTGAAGCTCCTGGCCGGGCTAGCCACCAGCTCCCCCAACCAACCCCTTGCAAGGCAGGCTCCCTCCCTCCCTGCCCAGGTGAGCCTCGCCTTCCCCCTTGCACAGCACTCCCAGTGGAGCTCCCACCTGGCTGGGCAGGGGGCACCTGTCCCTTGCAGGTGGGGAAGGGGAAGGGGACCCCATCCTGCCTTGGCTCTCTGGTTGATCCCCCTTCTAGCCAGGTAAGCAAGGCTTGGCAGCCAGCCTCCCTCCCTCCTTGCTCTTGCAATCCCCAACAAGGAGTGGGTGGTTGTTGTTGCTGTTGTTGTTGTTTGTGTTGCTCTGCATCCCTTCCTTTGCATGGCTTCTCCCTCCCTCCCTCCCCAACAGCATAGAGACAGACCCAGAGATTGCCTGGGGTTGAACTAGGTCAGCTTTGGGTTCAAAACAGACCTAGAGAAACTTTAAAAGCACAACATCACTTGGGTCCAAAACTCTGTTGTTGTTGTTGTTGTTTTATTGACATTAAAACACAGTATGTCACAACAAACGAGATATATATGCTTATTGTTATTATTGTTATTACTGACCCAAGACTGCATCCATAATAATCATCTTGTGGTGTTTCCAATAATGATAATAATGATGATGATGATGATGGATCGAAGACTGGATCAATAATAATAATAATAATAATAATAATAATAATAATAATAATGGATCGAAGACTGGATCTATAATAATAGTTATTATTATTATTATTATTATTATTATTGGGCCAAGACTGGATCAATAATAATAATAATAATAATGGATCGAAGACTGGATCTATATTATTATTATTATTATTATTATTATTATTATTGGGCCAAGACTGGATCAATAATAATAATAATAATAATAATAATAATAATAATGGATCGAAGACTGGATCTATAATAATAGTTATTATTATTATTATTATTGGGCCAAGACTGAATCAATAATAATAATAATAATAATGGATCCAAGACTGGAGCTATAATAATAGTTATTATTATTATTATTATTGGGCCAAGACTGGATCAATAATAATAATAATAATAATAATAATGGATCCAAGACTGGATCAATAATAATAATAATAATAATAATAATAATAATAATAATAATGGATCCAAGACTGGATCAATAATAATAATAATAATAATAATAATAATAATAATAGATGTAACACTGGATCAATAATAATAATAATAATAATAATAATAATAATAATGGATCCAAGACTGGATCTATAATAATAGTAATAATAATAATGGATCCAAGACTAGATCAATAATAATAATAATAATAATGGATCCAAGACTGGATCTATAATAATAATAGTTATTATTGGCCCAAGACTGGATCAATAATAATAATAATAATAATAATATATGGAAGACTAGATCAATATTAATAATTATTATAATAGTGGATACAAGACTAGATCTATAATAATAATAGTTATTATTGGTCCAAGACTGGTTCTATAATAATAATAATAATAACAATAATGTAACACTAAAGCAATAATAATAATAATAATAATAATAATAATAATGGATCCAAGACTGGATCTATAATAATAATAGTTATTATTATTGGCCCAAGACTGGATCAATAATAATAATAAATAAAAAAAAACAACAACAATAATAATAATAATAGACCCAAGACTGGATCAATAATAATAATAATAATAATAATAATAATAATAATAATAATAATGGATCAAAGACTAGATCTATAATAATAGTTATAGTTATTATAATAGTTGTTGTTGTTATTGTTGTTGTTGTTTATGCATCTACACTGTAGAATGGATGCAGCTTTGACGCCACTCTCCTTGACATGGCTCCATGCAAAGGAATCTTGGGAGTTGTAGTTCCACAAGGTCCTTAGCCTTCTTTCTCTCTAAAGAATGCAAACGACAACTCCCATTATTCCATAGCACTGCGCCATGGCAGTGCAAGTGGGGCCAAACCGCATTAACTCTACAGTGCAGATGCAGCCCTGGTGGAAAGAGACTCTTGCGCCTGTCCTCCAAGTAAACGAGAAGCCGTGATGCAACTCTATCCCTCGAATTTGGCGCATGGGTTGCACCCACCGACATGCCGGTTCTTGCTTTGCTGGGAGCATCTGCCCGGTGGAACCTGTTTGGGAGCCAGAGTCATGCAGGGATCCCAAATCTCCAAGGTGCGTCCATACGGTGGCATCAATCCAGTTTTGATACCTCTTGAACTGCCGCAACTCAATGCTATGGGTTATATAGGGTCGCCTTTGGGATGGACATTAGCAAGGGTAAAATCAGGGAAAGGTGGGAAAGCATAGAATCATAAGGTTGGAAAGGATCCTAAAGGCCATCCAGTCCAACCTTATTCTGTCTGGTGGGAAGGCACAATCCGAGCCCTCCCGACAGATGGCCATCCAGCCTCTGCTTAAATTTTTTCTAAGAAGGAGATTTGACTGGACATGAAGCATATTCCATATCCAAGCCCTCCATAGGACTCTACAGAAGGCATATTCAGCTGTCTCATATATATATATATATATATATATATATATATATATATATATATTGCATACACA